ACTCTGTGTTCAGTATGAAGACGTCCAGGTACTTTCAGATGGATGGATTCCTGCAGATGTCTGACAGTAATAGATTACTTGTTATTAGTTATAGGTTATAGATCAATAAAAAGGTAAAGCTCTGAACTGTTTTATATTTACATACATAATGTTGAGTCTGTATATAGAAATATATATTAATGTGTTTCTTTTACAGACAGCAGCTCTCTTAGCCCTGAGTATCGTCGGGAGGCGCCTCCCTCGCTGAGCTCGTTGGGTTTATTGCTTCGAACCCTCGACCACTTTCATCTTCGTCTCATCTGGACTGTCGGTCCGACGGTCTGAGACTTCAGGGTGAAAATCAACCTGGAACTATAGAAGTGGAGTCCCGGTGGACTTCAGAGCCTTTGTCCTGGGTTCATCACGGGATCCTCGTCCTCCACATTGAAGACGGCAGCTTAATGAAGTCTGAGTTAGTGCGGGTCCACTGGCTGAATAACGTATTGATCTGACCACTGTGCTCTCAGGAGGACCCTGCAGTCCAACATGTGTTCATCTGTTTAGACTGAAAACATCGACCCAGCATCCCAACCGGACAACAGGTTGGACCTCAGAGGACTCCAGAGTGGGTAACTGTTGTTCAAATGTTTCAGCTGTAATAACTTTATTGATCCTCTGAATGTGTCCCATCATTAGCTAATGTTAGCATGCTAACACGCTAAAGTAAGATGGTGAACATTACAGCTGCTATACATCCGCATGGTAGCACTGCTAGCACGACTGGAAACTACTGGTGTCTTTATAAAATTATATTAATAATTAATAATCATTTATTTGCAGTGACGTTATTAATACAGAGAACTACTAACATTTAATAATAAACAGTCAAATAAGATCCCCCCCAGAGATCAGGTCTAACAGGCTGGATAATCCTTTATCTCTCAGGGCTCATGTGGACTCAGCTGATCCTGTTTGTATGTTTCCTCTTGTCACAGTATGTTCTCTGTATTGTGTTTTATGTACCTACAGAGCGTCCATGTTGTTTCCCTGAAGGACAGTAAAGTTTCCTGTTGCACATAAAGAACAGTTATTATTAGGGATGGGGCCGATCCGATCCAGTATCCGTATCGGGACCGATACCAGCGTAATTCACATATCGGATTTTCCCGATCCAACCTGCGGAGATATCCGATATCCATGAGCCATGTCTGCGTTAACGTTGTCTGCTGAAATGACTCCACAAGTGATTCTTGCCGTCCGGTCTGCTAGCTGGCTGCAAACTGTGGAATGGATTTCCTGAACGGAGGCGCGGCTCAATGAGACACAGAGTAATGAGACACGCTCCCGCTCAGGAAATCCATTCCGCAGTTTGCAGCCAGCTAGCAAAGCCGTAATTCAGAGAGGCAGAAGCTCCCTCGCGTCGTTCAACACTACGAACGCAATCAAACATTTAAAAAAGCACCACATGAAAGGGCACGAGGATGTTTTAGCCAGGGGGAAGAAAGACAAAAGGAGCTGTCAGGAATCACTTCTGGAGTCATTCCAAAAACAAGGTAAACTCCAGGCAGACAATGTGAAAGCTAAAGGGATTAGTGTGTGTGTGTGTGTGTGTGTGTGTGTGTGTGTGTGTGTTTACACTTATTGCACTTTCCTTATATTTCAATTATTTGACATTTTGGGAATTTAATAAATATTGACATGACAATCAATTTGAAACCCTTACAGTAGCATATTTGTTTTCAGGATGGGATTTTTCCTGTTAACAGGATTTCCTGTTTTTCTGACTTCCTTTTCTGACCTTATACTTACCTCAAGTTGCCTTTTGGGACATACATGCATACATAGGTACATATCATACTTGCCTGTTGAGAGGAGTTTATTTCAGCCTCATATGAAATCAACAATAATGATAATAATAATATTAAAGCAAACAGAGCTCTGGTATCGGTATCGGCCGATATGCAAATTCAGGTATCGGGATCGGATCGGAAGTGAAAAAATGTGGATCGGTGCATCCCTGGTTATTATTATTACAGTTAGCAACCATTACCTCTGGAGAGAACAGCAGTTTCCTCCTTTATCCCATCTGAAGCCTCCTTTATCAACTCATATATAACATAAGATATTTATAAGATACTCTAGATGGCATTAACTTGGCCTCTAGCACCACTGTCAGGAATCTTGGAGTTATCTTTGATCAGGATTTGTCATTTAACTCCCACATAAAGCAGACCTCTAGGACTGCCTTCTTTCATTTACGTAATATTACAAAAATTAGACACATACTATCACAGACAGATGCAGAAAAACTAACCCATGCATTTGTTACTTCAAGGCTGGATTACTGCAACTCTTTATTATCAGGTTGCCCCAATAAGTCCATTCAAACGCTCCAATTAATTCAGAACGCTGCAGCACGAGTACTGACAGGAACTAGAAAAAGAGATCACATCTCTCCTGTACTAGCTTCTCTGCATTGGCTCCCTGTAAAATGTAGAATAGAATTTAAAATCCTCCTCCTCACCTATAAAGCTCTTCATGGTCAGGCCCCTTCATATCTTAAAGAGCTCATAGTACCCTATTACCCCTCTAGAACACTACGTTCTCTGAATGCTGGGCTACTTGTGGTTCCTACAGTCTCTAAAAGTAGAACAGGAGCCAGAGCCTTCAGTTACCAAGCTCCTCTCCTGTGGAACCAGCTTCCAGTTGTGGTTCGGGAGGCAGACACCCTCACCACATTCAAGAGTAGGCTTAAGACATTCCTCTTTGATAAAGCTTATAGTTAGGGCTGGATCAGGTGAGCCTGAACCATCCCTTAGTTATGCTGTTATAGGCCTAGACTATCGGGGGATTTCCCATGATGCACTGAGCTCCTCTCTTCCTCTCTCTTTCTGCACTCATTCATGTCCCATTAATGCATGTTACTAACTTCACTTCTTCCCCGGAGTTCTTGTGCTTTCTCGTCTCGCAGGTTCTTGTCGATCCTGGTGGAGCCTCCTGCCATGGTCCTGCTAGACTGCCATTGCCAATACTGTTGTTGCTGTGCACCTGTCTGTCTGTCTGTCTGTCTCTCACTCTCTCTCTCTCTGTCTCTCTCTCTCTCTCACCCCAACTGGTCGAGACAGACGACCACCCACCTAGAGCTGGAGGATCTGTCCTAGGTTTCTGCCTTTTAACAGGCAGTTTTTCCTTGCCCTTGTCTCCAAGGTCTTGCTCATGGTGGTACTGTTGGGTCTCTGTAAATAATGTTATAGGTCTAGACCTGCTCTATTTGAAAAGTGTCCTGAGATAACTTCTGTTATGAATTGGCGCTATACAAATAAAATTGAATTGAAATTGAATTGAATTGAATTTATTAAAGGGTCAGCAATGTGAACTTCTCAAAGAACAACAACACACAGGTACAGTCTGCTTCACAACCACCGGAGCTGATACCTCCAATTCAATCAAAAGTCTCAAACTACGTTTGACCGACACTACAAGATCACTTATCCTCCATTCAACACCAAAATGATCACTTTTATAGGGCAGGAGTTAATAGGAGATATATATATATATATTCTTTTTTTATATATATAACTGTTCACTAAAACACATTTTTCCCATTTCATGTGATGTTGTTCTAATTTGCAATGCTTATTAATAATAATAATAATAATAAATAATACTGTACCTAGAATAATAATTGTAATATTTAACTGAGAACATTTTCTTTTCATTTACCAGCGTTTAAAATAAATGTTAAGTGGCTTTAACCAATTTTGAATTTTCTGTCTTAAAACACTGAAAACGACAGGATGAAGTGACGTCACACTTTGCTCGCCATTGACTGCGCTGGGATTGTTGACAGCAGAGGGTTTCATTAGAGCTCACAGACTGTAAGGAACAGTAGATCCTTCAGTGTGTCACTGATTGAAGTCTTTCGTAATGAAGAGCCTGTTAGTGGGAGTTGGTGCGTTGGGTCCAGTGTGAGTGGGGCTTTAGAGAGGGTCACTGTACTGTTACACTGGGGCTATTCAGTCGCTGGTGTAAAGAGTTGGTTTTTATTCCTCGTTGAATAAATCACTGAAGATGAAACTGAACTGAATCCCAGGAGCTGGTTCTTTACACAGACCAGGTCGTGATTACGTCCCCACATCTTACAGTCGGATTATAAAACCTCAGAGTTACGTCAAAAACACACAGTGCTATTAAAGAGACACTGAAGACAAGATGGCTGACTCCACTCAGCAAAAATAAAAATGCTCATTTAATATGAACGGATCTCATCGAACTGTCAATAAAAGACAGATCATACACCACGAGGACGAGGACGGAGCAAGAAGAGGAAGAGGAGGCTTTCTACAGACCGCTAATCTGCTAGCATGTTTACCGCCTGCTGAAGACTTTATATGGCAACCTTTAATATTCATTATGAAATATTAACACAGGTGAAAAATAAAGCAGAAGGTTGATTAACAACATTTTACTCTTTTTCCAGTTGTGTTCTGATCTTCTTCATTGATTTCATTCCTCTACAGCGGCTAATGAGGCTACCAAAAACTAGCCAAAGGGGACAGAGAAGAATAAAAGCTGATTTTTTTTTTGTGACAGCTGAAGATCGACAGGAAAGGTGGGCAGAGAGAGAGGGGATGACACGCAGCAAAGGGCCACAAACGGATTCGAACCCAGGCCGCTGCAGCAACTCCGTATATGTGTCACCAGCTCTACCAACTGAGCTAACCGGGCGCCATAAAAGCTGATTTAAAGGTTATATGTACTGCCTACAGTAGAGCACCAGCATCGGTCCACCAGACTCCACAAAACCAATGATTTTACCTCGTAAACAAACTTTAAAGTGAACAGAAACAGAATCAAACCGTCTCTGTTAGTGTCACCGACTCTGGTTGGGTGGAAATAAATCCTTCATTCACTGATGTAGACGAGACAAACAGCAGCTTTTGTTTAACATTACAGGTTTATAAAAGAATACTGAGGGCTGGTGTGGAGACCCGCCCCCCGACAGCAGGGACAGCACTGACCTGGAGTCTGGTGTTGGACCGTCTCGCTGAGGTCCTGCAGGCGGACCAGCAGCAGCAGGGATCCGGCTCCCAGCAGCAGGAGGAACCACAGGGAGCAGTAGAGGGAGCAGGGCAGCTTCATGACCGCAGACACTCACACAGCAGACTGAGCCCAGATCAGCCCCCACTGCACAGTCTGGGGGGGGGGGGAGGGGGGCAGGAGGGTTAAGGTTAGACCTGGTACAAGAACATACATCACATTCATCAGCAGGTACCTGTGACATTCATTTCATTAGTGATTCATTCAGATTATTTTATCCCACAATGCATCAGGACGTCTTCAGGTTTCATTTTGTTCAAAACAGAAAATCAGAGAATATTTAATATATAAATAATGTAAATATTGAATGGACTCATACAGTTTCTCTCATTCACACATTCACTCAGCATCAGGAGCAGTTTTGGGTTCAGTTTCTTGCTCAAGGGCACTTTGACCTGCCGCAGGAGGAGCTGGGAATCGAACCGCCAACCTTCTGATCTGTGGCCGACCCGCTCTACCTCCTGAGCCTCAGCCTCTATTAACACTAAATAAAATGGACTCCTGGCCAATCAGAGAGCTTTCTGTGTGTGTCTGACCAACAGGTGACACAAAGTTCACAACTAAACAAAAACACACAAACTAGGGCTGGGCGATAAATCGATTTTATCAATTAATTCGAATTTGTAGTTAAACACGATTTATTTTTAGTTAAAATCGTTTTTGGTTTGGTGTGAAAAAAATCGGAGATTTTATTTTTAAGCTATATCGCCCAGCCCTAACACAAACTGAAGAAAATAAATTAAACCAAATATATAAAACAAACAACAACATAAATAATATCAAGACTAGATCAGATCAGGTTTATTAACGTCAGTGAAAGCATTCAGTAAACAACAACAACAACAACATAAAGTAATGGACGACTGTTCCTCCTGTCAGTAGAAGTTGTTGTTGACGTGCTGTGTGTTTATTGTGTTGTTGTTGTTGTTGACGTGCTGTGTGTGTGTTTATTTTTAAAGAATTTCATCCTGCTGACGCTACACTTCCTGTTCCCATGAGGCCGAGCAGGAACATCTGTTCCTCTGGAGGACAGCTTCCCTCAGCGCGCGCGCACACACACACACACACACACACACACACACACACACACACACACACACACACACACACACACACACACACACACACACACACACACTCGTGTGACCTCAGCTGTTCAACGCGCTCATTAGAGAGAAGAAAAAGACAACAGGAAGCTGCTTAGAGCGGCCATTTTGGGAACAAATGTCTAATTTTAGAGAAGCAAACGTTTAAATGATTTCAGGATGATGAGATTTAAAAATAAAATGCAGCTTATTATTAATATATATTAATTTATATTATTATTATTATATATTATTATCAGTGCAACGATCATTATTATTTCAACATGAAACAGACTATGTAGTCCACAGGTCTCACATGTATGACTCTACAGCGCCCCCTACAGAGCAGCCCCGGCTGCTCTACACAGATATGTATGAAAATCACTACACATGTGGGTCACGATCAGACGCACAAAAAAGCCTCTTGGACCCATCCCCCAAACCCAACAGGAAGTTGGCCATTTAACGAACTCCTCATAGAGAACTGATCTGTGTGTGTGTGTCCTGAAGACGGCGTGTCTGTGGCATGGCGCCAGACTCCACATCTAATAAGAGTCGCGCCCTGAACACATCGACTATCGATATTCCGTCAGCGCCCCCTACTGGCAACAGGAAGTGGCCTTGTCATCATTTGATTTACATCATATTTTCATGGTGTGTAATTAGAGTTCTCCAGCACCACAGTGGACACAGGAAGCGCCATTTAACTCCTTCGCACAGAGTCCGAAATACGTTACACAGCTGCGTCGGTTCGAGCACACTGACTGCACAGTGACATTAGACCTGGACTGATCCGCCGGTGCCGGATAACGTTAACGTCAGTCAACAAAAATTCAACAAATGAATATTTTAATTATCATCAATGAATCGTTGATCTGATCAGTTTCACAGACGTAATCAATAACAGTTGGAACGTACTTTAACTCAATCACACAGATTGTTGTTTTCTGATCAACATGTTTGTGTCTGTAAGCTGAGATGAGTTGGACTCTGTGCCCGCCCCCCCCTCCCCCCCTCCCCGACGTTGTTCGCAGCTGCTGTGCTAAGTATAAAGACACCACAGTATTTATGGAAGGAACTAAAAATGACCTCCAGACCCCTCCAGTCCAGTACAGACCCCTTCGGTCCAGACCCCTTCGGTCCAGCCTGGTGGCTGACTGCAGTATAGACTCAGACCTCGATCACTAACTCTGAATGGAGGAAGTGTTTATATGTGGATGGTGTCAGCGCGCAGACACGGCGGCCAGTGGTGAAGACCTTAAACGGAGGATGAATCATTGTGTCAGAAACATGAAGGAGGTGAGACAGATACAGATGGTGAGATATGGGTTTTATTTTCACTTTTACAGTTTATACCTTAGAAACAGAAAAGGATTCAATAGTTAGATAAAGATATATAGAATGTATATATATATATATATATTTATATTTCTGTCTGAGAGATAAAGGAATATTTAATCTCATTGTGTTGTGCAGTGAGTTGAGTACCGAACATTGTTTCCTGCACAAAACTCACTTTCTTGTTTCTAGTTGTGAAGATGCAGACCACATTTACCCTCGAACTGTTGATTTTATTCTCACTGGAACAAGTTGCCTCCTATTTTTAATAAATTATGCAAAAAAAACTAATAAAACTGCAACTATTTTCGCAATTTTCACTTTCTCCCACAATTTCAGTGCAAAAACCTGAAGACACAACATGAAATCAGGAATCCTGGAGGGACTGATAGATAGTTTCCTTCAGTAAACATCCAGTGATAGCTGTCTGTACATGCATGATACACTGCTAACAGGAGCAGCTAAGAGGAGCAGCTCAGTCTGTGAATGGAGACTATCTGACTGAAAACACTGTAGTTCACAGTATGTCAGACTTTAACTTCTCTTTTAAAGCTTTTTGAATAATAAAACTAAATCACATGTTCTGAAAGTTTGTTGTTTTTAACCTTTTTCCTCAAATGTTCTTTATTCAGGAATCAAAGATTCATTAATTCATCTGCTCAGAGTGCTGTTCCAGAGTCAGTAAATATCACTGAGTGTTGTTTGGCAGCTTTCATTGAACGAGCATTGACCTTTAAAAACACATTATTTTCATTATCAATCCTTAAAGCTTGTCTCTTCAAACACATAAACTTTTACTTTATTTCACCCTCAACTAAACAATGAAATGTCATTTTATTTACGTGTTACAAATCAACAACAACAACATCAAATCCTCACCAACGCTGGAACAAGTCTTTATGTTTGATTATTTTCCTCTTAATGAAGTAATCAATTGAAGCAGTTCCACCTTAACAATCAGTTTCTCCCACGCCATTGGACAGACAAAGGACATCCAATGGCCGCGCTGCTGCTAACGTTTTTATTTGTATAGCGCCAATTCATAACAGAAGTTATCTCAGGACACTTTTCAAATAGAGCAGGTCTAGACCGAACTCCTTATGACATTATTTACAGAGACCCAACAGTACCACCATGAGCAAGACCTTGGAGACAAGGGCAAGGAAACACTGCCTGTTAAAAGGCTGAAACCTAGGACAGATCCTCCAGCTCTAGGTGGGTGGTCGTCTGTCTCGACCAGTTGGGGTGAGCTGCTAATGCTAACGTTAGCTCAGCTTGTTTCTCTCATAACTTAAGATCCAGACGTCCGATGACTAAAATCCTTCATCTGGTTCAAATCTAGAGTTAAAAAGCACCAAGATCTAAACAGTGGATGGTAAACAGTCAATGTGTGACAGATTCTGGCAGTCTGAAACTCAAACTAAAGACTTTGTTCGGGACTGTCTGAGCTCAGTGTGTCTCCACAGATCTTTTGTTGCACAGATGAGTTTCTCTGAATTTTCATTAACATTCAAACGAGCTCTCACACAGAAACGCTAGCGGAGCTTTTGTTGCTGCTCTGAGGCGACTCTGAAACGGTACATCTTCTGTTCTCACGGCTTTATTGGTTTAACTGGGATCCTCTTCTGGTCTATTGAACAGTGTAAAGTACTCAATGATAAAGTGGGACGGATCCATCAGAAGAGTCCCGAACAAAGAACACTGAGGGACAAAGGTTCAGAAGAGAAGTTCTGAAAGACCACATGAGGATCCATATGAACCTGTGTCCAACCACCAGGCCAGTTACATGTAACTGAGTTACATAATCAGGATACAAAACAAAGACGTAATCAGATTACAGCTACATTTAGTAAAAATGTTGGTTTCTAAGGTCACATTGTTCTGTTGTCTTATAGACTATTAAACACCCAGATCAATACTTCTAATTGACATTTTATTTCTCTTTTCTTTATTTACATATTTGGTTTTGAGGTAATTCAACAGTAACTAAAAGTAATCATATTACTTTAATATTGAGTGGGTGGCACTATGACTATGACTGAATATCACCATGTTGAAGTGTTCAGGTCAGGACTCGTGGCGTTTGGTGCAGATTGGTGCACTAAAGTTACAGTAACTTCCTGTTCCTTCCTGACACCATGCCACCAACACGCCTTTTATTGTGCCGCGTTTTATGACCTTTTGAACATGTTGTGGCCACAAGAAATGTGATTCATTTCATTAAATGTATGTATACACACCTTGCACAGGCTAAATATATGACACGTTTACATTATATCAATATTAATGTATAATATCTATGTGTATACATGTATATCTGTTCAGTCATCATATTATATATACATATTATTATATTATAAATATTATTAATATTATCATTATATACTGTTATTATTATATACTGTTAACAATAACGCTACCATCATGTCATCAGTACTATTACCACCATCTTGCAACTACAACTCTTTGCACCTTACCTAACTATTTATCTTTTTTTATCTTTTCTATCTAAGTATTTTATTCTATTGTTGTATTTTATTCTATTGTATTTTAATGTACCTGGCTACTATGACGACCCAATTTCCCTTTGGGGATTAATAAAGTCTGTCTATCTATCTATCTATCTATCTATCTATCTATCTATCTATCTAAATAAAAATAATCCAATCAGTGTCAATAGGGTCCTCAAGCCCTAAAAATAATAATCTTATGGCAGTTTAAGATCCCTGGTCTACAGCCTGAGTACTCCCAGTGTGCAGTTGGACGGGTTCTAGTCCTAGTTTAACTCTGATTCTGTTATTTCATTCAGTCCTCAGACACTGGCAGGGATCAGGGGATGAATGAGAAAAGAATTAAGAAGCAGCTAACGAGCAGAGTGCTCATTAATGTCACTAATCCTCTTTGTCCAGCAGCTACAGACGAACTCTTCTAATCACCAAATATCTGAATCGATACCAGTTTTCCATGACATGAATGGAAACAGAGTGATTAGGCTTTGATAACAGCTCCATGCTGAGTACAGATCTGATGTCAGACCACACAAAGGCCTCATTCACACCCACAACCCCCCCCAGACCTGCTCCAGCTCTCAGAGGTCATCAGAGATCAAATAACAATATTTTAACACAGCCTGAGAGAAAGAGGACGGGTGAGGAGGGAGAGAGGGGAACTTCGGATTCAATTCGAGCTGCCTCTCAACTTTAATTATTGTTTGACAGAAAGCGTGGGTTTTTTCTAAAGGTTGGTGTGGTAGAAAACATTTGAGAAGCACTGCATTATAGTCACCAAAGAAAAGACATTTAAGCTGTTTCTAGTGAAACCTCTTCAGGATGGAAAGAGAAATAAACACAGATCCTTCAGTCTGATCCAAACGTGTTGGAACTGAGACATAAAGACAGAAAATGAGTTGCATTCAGCAGCGCAGACTTTAGCACAAATTGCTCAGAGTTCAGGAGGAGGCTGAGGACAGTTCGCCCTCTCTCTGGAGAATCATGGACAGCAGCCATTAACAAGTGCTCGGGGACAAAAATGTCCCTCATTGTCCCCGAAATGAAGGTGACCTGAGCAGAAAAGTGAACAATTGATTCACTTAATAGCATTTTGCTGTATCTAGTTTGGTTCAAATTGCCCACAAAAGTTTTCTGAGCTCACTTTCTAGCAGAGAGGATTCATTAAAACAATCTCCTGTTATAAACAGTATCCTTAATGGAATGAGAATAATTTACATCTCTTTGCTAATTTCTTCTTTATTCTCATAAAATAATAATAATATATCAGCTGTAGCAGAGTGTGCAGTTTCTGGGTCAGCAGCACAGAAACAGTTTAAGTACATTAAAGGATCAGTCTGCTGTTATTCTGCATTATTATTACCAACTAATCTCATATTCAGACTCAAACTCAGTCCGTCTGACTGACTGCTGAGGCTTTCAAAGCCAATTGGTTCTTCACAAATATATAGTTTAAAAAAGCTTCAGTAATTTCAGTTTTTATCAGACAAACAGGAGGAAATAGTGCAGGGACTATTGTCAGCGGCAGATGAATCTATCTATTGAGTCTTATGGAGAAGTTTATTGATGAGCGCAGTAAACAGTTTCCTGATGAGTTTCTGGTCTCAGTCTCTAGTTTCAGTCTTCTTCCATACAGCATGATGTTCATTTAGTAACTGATGGTCCCATTTAGAGTAAAACAGACCATAAAGCAGGGTATGCTTTAGGGCGGGGCTACCTTGTGATTGACAGCTCATTATCAGTGAGTCTGTCCAGCTTAACCAAACTCAGATCAAACTGTCAAACAGTGCTGATCAGATATGGATCCAGATTCTGTTGTTGACTATTTCTCTCCTCAAATCTGTTCACAAACACATTTTACTGTTTATCTGGAATACCAGATCCTGTGTGAGCAGACGAGCAGCCAATGAGAGCAGCTCAACCAGCTTTACGTGACCTCCGCTAGCTGCTAAACACCAACATGGAGACAACCATAAAGCCCAGCTGGAGGTTCAGAGCTCTACAGACCGATGGGGGACAACAGAGTCCAGCTGGTAAATTTTTTAGCTACAAAAAATATTTTTACAGATTTGTTTTGTGTCTTTATTCTAACTGTATATGAAATAGAGCAAATGTGAACGTCTACAATGTCATGAGTACGGAGCAGACTGAAAGCTCCAGATCAGCTACTAAATGGACCTTGTGTTGAAAATATTTCTCCTGGGTTTTAATATTCTGTGAAACACCTCAGCTGAAATATTGTGTAAGTCCTGCTGGATGATTGCAAAGGACAGAAATATGAAAGTACCATAAATATAATCAGGAATATAATCTGTAAATCCCACGAGTTGATAAACTACCTCCTCCAGCACAATAAATAAAGGGCTGTAGCCTCTTGGACGTGAACTAAGCAGATTAATCCCTTTTCATTCCCTGATGAGGCTGTAATCTTATCGGATAACGTATAGTGGAAACTGTTCGTGAGGGTCCAAGGTGACCTAAAGGTTGGAAATGTTGGCTCAATATAGCCTCACTGCTTTCTATTATTATTGTTTAATCATCTTTTTTATTGTTTTCCCAACAAATAAACAGACTTTTTCATCATCTTCCACTCATTTTCTCTCCTGGGAAGTCAGTTTGACTGCAGGGAATAAAGGACTCAGGTGGTTTTGGCTCCTGACACTCTGGGGCTGAGTCAGCTAACGTTAGCTGCTCAAGCTAACAAACTAGCTGATGGCAGCAGCAGTTAGTAAAGTTGAGGCAGAGCAGCCGGAGGGTTTCTATACAGTGATAATAAAGTTGTGTTTGTACAGTGCGACGGTCCCCTGCGTGGCTCTAATGTTTCCTCTTCCTTTTAAGGCAGCAGGTACTTGTGGGTTGGACCAATCGGCATAGCCGGAAGCACCTGGTCCCGGTGTTTCCCAGCTATAAAAGCCCCGCCTCTCTGGCTGACGGGGGCTCTCTTTCTATCTTATTATCATTGCTGGTATTCCGAGTAGTTGTGTTTTAACATCCAACATTTACTTTTCATTATACATCACACTCATGCATACACACACTTTCACCACTAATGTTACTGACAAACACACCTCATCTTCTATTTAGTTCTTTTTCGGGTTGCATTTAGGTTGTTATGTTTAAATAAATTACTTATAATTTGTCCTTTCAACTGCGTCTCCTCGTTTTTGTCACGGCTTCAGAGCCAGGTCGTGACAAAGTGGGGGCTTGTTTCGGTAGTCTGTTTGTTGGTCCGTTTTGCGCTGAAGGGTAGGTAGTTTTGGTATGGTTAAATTGTTGTGCCATTGTTTGTTCCATCGTATATTTAGGCCTACTAGTTTGAGCTTCGCGCCTTGTGACACGGTCCAAATTTGTGAATGGTGTGGTCGTCATAGTTGACGTCACTAGTCTTTGTGAGGATTTCCCTGGGGATTCCCTATAGCGCAGTCCCGCGTGCGTAATTTCATTGTATTCAAAAGCGGGAAATCGGCGTTTTTGTTTGTGAGATGCAGTTGTTTGGAAGTGTGTTCCAAGTATTTTTTTTGTGTAGGTAATTATTTTTTCAGCGGACTGAGAGTTTTTTTTCGTGTGTCGGAAATGGTAAGTTAATGCATGGTAACTGTGGTTTACTGGTGTACTGAAACTGATTTTGACTAACTGGT